GAAGACAGATCAGGTTTGCAGCAGGCCTATCCACAGAAACTTGGCAGGCCAGAAAAGAGTGGCAGGATATATTCAATATGCTGAATCAGAAAAAATATGCAGCCAAGAATTATTTGTCCAGCAAAGCTGACATTCAAAAAGAAGGAGAGATTAAAAGTTTCCCAGACAAACAAAAATTAAAGGAGTTTGTGACCACTAAACCAGCCTGCAAGAAATTTTAAGGGAGATTCTCTGAGGGGAGAAAAGATGAAGAAAAAAAAAAAAAAAAAAGACCAAAAGCAATAAAGACTAGAAAGGACCAGAGACCACCAGAAGCTCCAACTCTACAAGAAACATAATGGCAATAAACTCATATCTTTCACTACTCACTCTAAACATCAATGGACTAAATGCTCCAGTCAAAAGACATAGGGTAACCGAATGGATAAGAAAACAAGATCCGTCTATACGCAGTATAAGCATAAGGGTATAAGAGATCCACATTAGACCTAAAGACACCTTCAGATTGAAAGTAAGGGGATGGAGAACCATCTATCATGCTAATGGTCACCGAAAGAAAGCCAGAGTAGCCATACTTATATCAAACAATCTAGATGTTAAAATAGCAAGAGATGAAAAAGGCATTATATCATAATTAAGGGGTCTATCCACCAAGAAGAGCTAACAATTGTAAATATTTACGCTCCAAATGTGAGAGCACCCAAACATATAAATCAATCAATCACAAACATAAAGAAATTCATTGATAATAATACCATCATCGTAGTGGACTTCAACACCTCACTTACAGCAATGGACAGATCATCTAAACAGAAAATCAACAAAGAAACAATAGCTTTGAATGACACACTGGACCAGATGGACATCACAGATATATTCAGAACATTTCATCCTAAAGCAGCGGAATATACATTCTTCTCCAGTGCACATGGAACGTTCTCTAGAATAGATCACATACTGGGACACAAATCAGCCCTCAACAAGTACAAAAGGATCGAGATCACACAGTGCATATTTTCAGACCACAATGCTATGAAACTCAAAATCAACCATTTGTAAGATAACAAACACTCGGAGACTAAAGAACATCCTACTAAAGACTGACTGGGCTAACCAAGAAGTTAAAGAGGAAATTTAAAAGTACATGGAAGCCAATGAAAATGATAACACCACAGCCCGAAACCTCTGGGATGCAGCAAAGGCAGTCATAAGAGGGAAGTATATAGCAATCCAGGCCTTCCTAAAGAAGGAAGAAAGGTCTCAGATACACAGCCTAACCTTACACCTTAAAGAGCTAGAAAAAGAACAGCAAATAAAACTCCAAACCAGCAGAAGACAGGAAATAATAAGCATTAGAGCAGAAATCAATGCTATCAAAACCAAAAACCAAACCAAACCAAACAAACAACAACACCAACAACAAGACAGTAGAACAGATCAATGAAACCAGAAGCTGGTCTTTGAAAGAATTAACAAAATTGATAAACCACTAACCAGTTTGATCAAAAAGAAAAAGGAAAGGACCCAAATAAATAAAATCAAGAATGAAAGAGGAGAAATCATAACCAACAGAGCAGAAATAAAAAACAATAATAAGAGAATATTATGAGTAATTATATGCCAATAAAATGAGCAATTTGGAAGAAATGGACACATTCCTAGAAACATATAAACTACCAAAACTGAAATAGGAAGAAATAGAAAATTTGAGCAGACCCATAACCAGTAAAGAAATTGAATTAGTAATAAAAAATCTCCCCAAAAAACAAGAGTCCAGGGCCAGATGGCTTTCCAGGGGAATTCTACCAAACATTTAAGAAAGAGTTAACACCTATTCTCTTGAAACTGCTCCAAAAACTAGAAATGGAAGAAATATTTCCAAACTCTTTCTATGAAGCCAGCATTACCTTGATTCCAAAACGAGACAAACACCTCATGAAAAAGGAGAAGTATAGACCAATTTCTCAGATGAACATGGATGCAAAAATCCTCAACAAGATATTACCAACCGGATCTAACAATACATCAAAAAAATTATTCACCATGACCAGGTGGGATTTATACCTGGGATTCGGGGCTGGTTCAATAACCACAAAACAATCAATGTGATTCATCACATCAATAAAAGAAAGGACAAGAACCACCTGATCCTCTCAATAGATGCAGAGAAAGCATTTGACAAAATACAGCATCTTTTCTTGATAAAAACTCTTTTTTTTTTTCTTGATAAAAACTCTTAAGAAAGTAAGGATAAAGGGATCATACCTCAAGATCATAAAAGCCATTTATGGAAGACCCAACGCTAATATCATTCTCAATGGGGAAAACACTGAGAGCTTTCCCCCTAAGGTCAAGAACAAGACAGAAATATCTACTCTCACCACTGTTATTCAACAGAGTATTGGAAGTCTTGGCCTTAGTAATCAGACAACACAAAGAAGTAAAAAGCATCCAAATCAGCCAGGAGGAGGTCAAACTTTCATTCTTCACAGACAACATGATGCTCTATATGGAAAACCCAAGAGATTCCATCAAAAAACTGCTAGAACTGATTCAGGAATTCAGCAAAGTGGCAGGATATAAAATCAATGCACAGAAATTGGTTGCATTCCTATCCACCAACAATGAAGCAACAGAAAGAGAAATCAAGGAATCAATCCCATTTACAATTGCACCAAACACCATAGAATACCTAGGAATAAATCTCACCAAAGAGGTGAAAAATCTATATGCTGAAAACTATAGAAAGCTTATGAAAGAAATTGAAAAAGACACAAAAAATGGAAAAATATTCCATGCTCCTGGATAGGAAGAACAAATACTGTTAAAATGTCAATACTATCCAAAGCGATCTACATATTCAATGCAATATCTATCAAAATAACACCAGTATTCTTCACAGAGCTAGAACCAACAATCCTAATATTTGTGGGAACCAGAAAAGACCCCAAATAACCAAAGCAATCTTGAAAAAGAAAACCAAAGCAGGAGGCATCACAATCCCGGACTTCAAGCTGTATTACAAAGCTGTAATCATCAAGACAGTATGGTACTGGCACAAGAACAGACACTCAGATCAATGGAACAAAATCAATGGTCCAGAAATGGACCCACAAACCTATGGCCAACTAATCTTTGACAAAGCAAGAAAGAATATTCAATGGAATAAAGTCAGCAAGTGGTGCTGGAAAAACTGGACAGCAACATGCAGAAAAATGAACCTGGACCACTTTCTTATACCATACACAAAAATAAACTCAAAATGGATGAAACCTAGATGTAATACAGGAAGCCATCAAAATCCTCGAGGAGCATGCAGGCAAGAACCTCTTTGACCCTGGCCGCAGCAACTTCTTACTCAACACGTCTCCAGAGGCAAAGGAAACAAAAGCAAAAATGACCTATTGGGACCTCATCAAAATAAAAAACTTCTGCACAGTGAAGGAAACAATCAGCAAAACTAAAAGGCAACCAACAGAATGGAAGAAGATATTTGCAAATGACATATCAGATAAAGGGTTAGTATCCAAAATCTATAAAGAACTTATCAAACTCGACACCCAGAAAGCAAATAATCCAGTGAAGAAATGGACTAAAGACATGAACAGACACTTCTCCTAAGAAGACATCCAGATGGCCAACAGACACATGAAATGATGCTCAACATCACTCATCATCAGGGAAAAACAAATCAAAACTACAATGAGATACCGCCTCACACCTCTCAGAATGGTAACATTAACAACTCAGGCAACAGCAGATGTTGGCAAGGATGCATAGAAAGAGGATCTCTTTTGCACTGCTGGTGGGAATGCGAACTGGTGCAGCCACTCTGGAAAACAATATGGAGGTTCCTCAAAAAATTAAAAATAGAACTACCCTACGACCCAGCAATTGCACTACTAGGTATTTATTCAAGGGATACAGGTATGCAGTTTCGAAGGGACACATGCACCCCAATGTTTACAGCAGCACTATCAACAATAGCCAAAGTATGGAAAGAGCCCAAATGTCCACTGATAGATGAATGGATAAAGAAGATGTGGTATACACACACACACACACACACACACACACACACACACACACAATGGAGTATTACTCAGCAATCAAAAAGAATGAAATTTTGCCATTTGTAAATATATGGATGGAACGAGAGGGTATCATGCTAAGTGAAATTAGTCAGTCAGAGACAAATATCATATGACTTCACTCATATGAGGACTTTAAGATACAAAACAGATGAACACAAGGGAAGAGAAGTAAAAATAATATAAAAACAGAGAGGGGGACAAAACATAAGAGACTCTTATATATGGAGAACAAATAGAGGGTTGCTGGAGGGGTTGTGAGAGGGGGATGGGCTAAATGGGTAAAGGGCATTAAGGAATCTACTCTTGAAATCATTGTTGCACTATATGTTAACTTGGATGTAAATTTAAAAAAAATAATTAAATAAAAATTTTAAAAAAGATACCATACCTAATCACACATAGCATTTTCTTAAAATTTTTTTTAATCTATTTTTGAGAGAGAGAAAGAGAGAGAGAGAGAGAGAGCATGAGTAGGGTAGGAGCTGAGAGAGAAAGAGAGAGACAGAGAATCTGGAATCTGAAGCAGACTCCAGGCTCTAAGCTGTCAGCACAGAGCCCAAAGCAGGGCTCGAACTCATGAACTGCAAGATCATGACCTGAGCAGAGGTCGGATGCTAACAACTGAACCACCCAGGTGCCCCCGCATAGCATTTTCTTACAGTTAATTTTGTCATGAACCTTCTCTCACCCAAGACAGAAACTTACTTGTTTCAAGGATAATTTTTATTGATGAGAAACATTTTAAAGATATAAAAAGATAAAAGTTAATTTTCTTATTTATGTGACATTTTCAGTCTTGAAAGTTTTTTTTCAAAGATTAAGTCCTGGCATCTTTTTTTTTTTTTTTTTTTTTTTTTTTTTTTTTTTTTTTTTTTTTTTTTTTTTTTTTTTTTTTTTTTTTTTTTTTTTTTTTAGGAATGTAGCTTTTTATAGGAAAGCCATCAGTAAGGATCCCATCCTCTCTCAAAAACAAACCGGTTGATCATGTCAAAAGATCTCAGAGGCTGGTCATAGGGTAAAATGTGTCCTCCACCTCGAACAATTACCTTAGAGAAGAAAAATAAAAGTTAAAAGTTAGAGAAATGGATATTCTACATGAAGGGAAAGTTTTAGTTCAGATTAAAATATTTTAAAACTTACATGAAATATGGAACATATGCTATCAATCCATGCCTTTGGGTATGCTGATTGTCTTAGATTTGATAGCTTTAATAACAGATATGTTAAGGAAGATAAGGCTTACAAGTTGTGTGGTTAGCTAATTTAACACAAAGTTGCGTTCATCTTTCACATGTACAAAACATGAAAATTGTCTTCTTCCTCTTGGTGGGGAGCCATCTGCTACTCCATGGTCTGTTATTCTTAGCTGGTGAGGCCCCTGAGGTGGGAAGACCTACCCCGGTGCCAGCTCGGCCCATAATTGGGTAGAGAGACATACCCAATCCCCCCTTTCAGTCCACTGACCCACGTGGCCCTCACACTGCACTCCCCCTGGCGTCTCAGCATTTGCCATTACTACAGGGGATATTTGGATTCTTCGAAAAATTAAAATGACAACAAACAGAAGTCTTTGACTCCTGAAATTTTAATTTTTTTAAATGTTTTGGATTTATTTTTGAGAGTCAGAGAGAGACAGCACGAGCAGGGAAGGGTCAGAAAGAGATACAGAATCCGAAGACAGGCTCCAGGCTCTGAGCTAGCTGTCAGCACAGAGCTTGACGCAGGGCTCGAACCCATGAACCGTGAGATCATGACCTGAGCCAAAATCAGACACTTAACAGACTGAGTCACCCAGGCTCCCCTCCTGAAATTTTAGAAGGCCATCTTTTTGAGTAGCACAGAGTGAGAATATTCTTTTTCCCCAACATCGTATTATGAAAACTCTTCAAACATACAGCAAATCTGAAAGACTTTCATAGACTTACCACCTAGATTCTCTCATTAACACCCACGGTACTCATTTTCTCACACTGTCCACCTATTACTCCATCTTTTCTTTTTTGACCCGTTTCAAAGTAAAATACGGTTATCAGTACACTCCCCCCAGACTTTATGTAAAATCAACACACCGTGAAATGCACTTGGGTTTAGTGCAGACTCACTGAGTTTGGACAGCAGTGGATACCTACTGGATAGGATACACCTAACAAGATGTATAATGCGTTCTTAAACACCTATAGTTAAGGTGAATTTGGACTCTAGTGCTAGGTGCCATACTAATTTAAAACAGGGGGTTGGGGGTAGGGGTACTGGTCTCTGTACTCGGAAACCCTCTGAGCTTAGCAAATGTCCCAAATAGAGGACAAAGAGAGGTCTTCATGATTCAGTACCCAAAGGGAAAGGACTGACAGTGAGCATTGGTAGCCCTCCTGTAAGAGAAGTCAGCGTAGCCTGAGATAGTCTACGGCACATTTGGAAAACGGACAGCGTTAGGAGTGAATGGAGTGAGTGAACACAAGCAGTAAAGGGATCACGTTCAGTACATTCTAGCTGCAAAGTCACAATCGGCAAGTAAGGACCGCTTTGACAAGGTCCTTCATAGCTCGTTTTATCTGCCTCAATCAGAAGGGGACCGAGGCAGAAAAAAGTACAAATATATTTACATAGTGCATTTATTATATTAAAAATCCACCCCCACCCCCCAGCATCTTGCAACCCCGCCATGAGGCAAGTGGGATCAACGTTATTAGATGAGTTTTGCTTTGAGGCTCACAGCTGTGCAAGCTGGGCGTAGAGACCACGATTCACACCAGCCTCGGTGACTGAGTAGCCAAGAGAATGAGCTGGAACCTGGCTTCTGATGCAAACACAAGTGTTTTTATTCAAGTCATAGTATTTGTACAATCATTCTCTACATTTGAGCCAGCCTTTACAGCTTAGTCACAGAACATTCCATCTCCCTCTCAACAGGTAAGGGAAGCAGACCGCCATTGTAGATGTGAGATAGGACTTAACCCTCACGTGCAATTGGAAACACCTGCCTCATGCAACACCCCGTCAATGGTCATTCGTGCCTTGCTGCAGTGACAGTGGAGCCCATCTACCATTTGCATTCGAGCTCGCATCTGGAAACCCAACATGTCTCACTTTGTCACAGACTGAAAGCAAACATAGGTGTGACATGAGCCCCTGTATGTGACTCTGGAGGAAAACCTTTGCTGCCCCTACAATCCCAGGCCAGAATTCTCTTCCTGTACATTCCCATCCAAGTCTCCAGCCTTGGCAGGAATCTGACGAGTGATTCTGTGCAACTTCGGCTCAGCTGAGGACACTTAACAAAGTCATGTTTGTGACAAACCCCAGCTGCTGCTTCAACTGGAAATGAATTTGGCAGCAATGGTCCGGAACAGTGGTACGCTGAATCCAAGAGCCAAAAGGTCAGTCGGCTTCCAGGACCAGAGCTGCAGCTAATGGTGGAGGGGGAGGGGGGGACTGTGTGTGTGTTTAGGGGGGAGGGGGACACAGTACCTTATGGCCTGGCTTGGAGTCAGAGTGCAGGAGCAACACTTGAGGCACAGCAAGCTATGTGACACCGGACAAGTAATTTACCTGCTCTGAGCCTCAGTTTCCTTAACTGTACAATAAAGAAAAATGTATTACCTCTTGGGATAGTTGGGAATTATTTGAGCAATTAATGCAGTAATGTCCACAGAACACTTAGCACAGCGTCTGGACTGGGATGGAACTCAATAAATACTTAGCCATTGTCATTATTCTTCCAACAGTCATCCCTATTCAAAATTCAGGCTCAAAATGCTTGTATCAAACTACCCTAAAACACTGTGTTTCAACATTAGCATCAAGAAATCTTGGTTTGAGGGAGTTGTTTAAAATTGTGGTTCTCAAACTTGACTGTGCATCAAAATACTTGAGCTTGTTAGAACAGATTGCCTAGACTCACCCCTAGATCAATCAGTTCTGAAGGTCGAGGGCAGGGCCTGACATTTCCAACAATTCCAAAGTAATGCTGATGCCACTGGTCCAAAGACTACTCTTTGAGAACCACTGTTTGGAAAAACTTGTCTTCCATTATGTGACAAATGAGGCACTTCTCTATTTATATCAATGGGGAATACAAACAGAAATTAACACCTAGTTACGATCTCACCTTATCATCTGCTCTCTTGGTATTTACACACACACACACACACACACACACACACACACACGTCTCTGACTGTGACAATCAAGTGATAAAGAAGAGATTGGGTTGAGTGTCACAATTCTTATTCTCAGTAACCTGTGTGATCCCCAGCCCAGGACCAAATCATATCATAAACAGTGCCATGAAGACTGGAGAGAAAAACTCATTTAGGAACACAGTCTTTTCACATGTCACAAAATTTCAAAGTATGTTCCCTAGCAGATTAAAATAGTGCATTTTACTGATGTTAACTTCAAAACTAAATTTATGAGTGCCAGGGAAAAAAAATCCAAAAAATAAATTTACGAGTGCCAGAAAAAAAAATCACTCTGTTGTTTATAGCCAAGCTGCTCACCACTCACAAATCAAGGGCACAAACCATGCCATGGTTTTTAGAGGTGTGTAACAAAATGTGACAGAGCCGTGATTCCATATTTAAGTGTGACAGATTAATCCCAAGGCTCCCGGGATAGAAATGGTCTCATCAACAGAAACCGTATATATTGGGTGTTTCCGCACAAGAGCTGAAACCTCTAGACTCATGTATTCCAGATGTTCCAGGGGGTCACAAGTGTGTCATGAATTTTAAAAGGGTTATGCAAACACTTTAAAGCTTCATTCCACTTTATTTTTGAGAAAAGGATAGAATTCTCCCTGGAATCAGAAGCATGGACCTGGCTGTAAGGGTTTCCCAGTTGTGTTTTTGTAGGTGACAAGATTCAGAGGAAACTCACACTGGGAGTGTTGATGTAGGTGTGTCAGGGGAGACTTCACGGGAGTCTTGGAGAAGCAGATGTGGACAGACGACGCAGGGTGGAGTGGGGGAGGGACGCACTGGACCCAGAGGAAACTGCCCTTGCAAAAGCAGAGAAGCGTGAAACTGCACGGGACACGCAACAACCCACAAGCAGTTCCACATATGAAGGGTCAGAGGAGAAAGAAGGGAGAGTTGAACAGACAAATACTAGTGAGACCATATGATGCCCCGTATGATGTGCTGCTGGGCGGGGTAGGGGAGGCAGTTTGTGTGGCAAAATACACATAACGTAAAATTACCATTCTAACCATTTTTAAACGAACAGCAGTATTTAGTGCATTCACAATGCTGTACAACCATCCCCACTATCTCGTTGCAGAATGTTTTCATCACCCCAAAGGGAACCCGATAACCATTAGCTATCTCTTCCCATTCTCTCCCTGCCTGCCCTTGGCAATCACCAGGCTGCTTTCTGTCTCCATGAAGTTGCCTCCTCTGGACATATTTTAGAGGGTTTTAAGCAGGGCAGTGATGTGCTCAGATCTCTATTATACAAAGATGACTTCATGTGTGATCAGGGGGCTGATTTGGAAGGAAATGATCCTGGGGCAGGGAGGTGAATTGGAGACAGGCTGTTCAGGTGAGAGAGGATGTGGGCACATGGGAGAAATGGGGAGAAGGGGAAGGAAAGGGATGTCGGGGTGGAACCAGTAAAACCAGTGACTAATCAGACATAAAGGTAAAGTGAAAGCACCCACCAGTACATACACACATCCCCCCGCCCCTCAACTTCAGGCTTCTGTCCCAGCTTTGCAAGGGGTGGTGCTATTAGCCAAGAAGGAAGAAGAGGCAGGTTTGGGGGGCAGGCAACATGGGATAGAACTATAGTTCTTTTTTTTTTTTTTAATTTATTTTTGAGAGATAGAGATAGAGATAGAGACAGCATGAGCAGGGGAGGGTCAGAAAGAGAGAAAGACACACAGAATCCAAAGCAGGCTCCAGGCTCTGAGCTAGCTGTCAGCACAGAGCCCGATGTGGAGCTCGAACCCACGAGCTGTGAAATCATGACCTGAGTCGAAGTTGGATGCTTAACCGACTGAGCCACCCAGGTGCCCCTAGAATTATAGTTCTTGTTCTTCACTATA